GTGTCCTAGCTACTACACAATGAGGTTCTCCCCATCTGCCTCTGGTTGAGAATAGCTTCTATCTGGATCTTAAAAATTTTCCTAGGTAAAGTCTCATCATGGAGATGCCATCCTGGATGGCTTAATTAGCAACTCAGGAAAACGATTTCTTATACAAGAGTTCTCTGTCTTCATAGGTTTACCAATTTATTTTGTGCTAAAATATATTTAATCTCACAGATACTGGCATTTAATAAATAATTTTCTGCCTAAGGAATTCTTTTACAAATATAAAGCAGAGATAATACTTTATGGACAAGAATCTAATGCAGCATTTTTATTTTCCTCCCCTCCCTCCCAGTATAAGAATGTGGCAAAATGTTTAAATGAGCACTTTCTAAAATACTCAGACTTAGGAAGATGCATTGCTTGTGGAAGTTAAGATTTCCCAAAATTATAAATTTTGTCTTAATGTCTTTAGAAAATAAAAAGCATCCAAACTCATCTCAAGAGAATTTAGCAAGAAACCAAGATACGAATATAAAACCCCATCAAAGCAAAATAAAGTATCTCAAAACCAGGCTCCATCTTGCAACTACAGATTCAATTACCTGACAAAGCAGTACCTGAGCCAAGTAAAGGAGTGAGTTTTCTCACATAAAATTTCAAGTATGGCAACATCTGCAAACTATTTTCTAATAAATTGAAACTCAACTCAGGAAAAAAAAAAAAAATCCAAAACAGAATTTGTTGGAGAAGGCATGAACTTTTCTAAACAAAAAGTCAAAAGTGAATGTCAATATTCAAAGTAACATTTCCTATTTTTCAAGTATCACACTTTCACTTCTGAAATGAGAAAGATCAGTGAGAATTCCCAGCATGGCATCAAAGGCTCTGTATGTTTAAATGTATTGAAGACATGGAAATCCTTATATGTATTCCTTATATACACATTCAACAGGGAATCACTTTGACTAACATGTTTTGAAATTTTTTATTTCTTAAAATTTAAGGAAAAAATCAACTGAGAAACTTTTTTCATTGTACTAATACACAGGAGTAAGTGATACCTTTTCTTATCTGACAAATCCATCCATATAGATAATCACAATGCCTGTCATTCCAAAGCATGCTGGAATCGCCACTGATCTCTGCACAAAGTTCAATTCCTTGATAATTATTGGGTTCTCCAAAGCCCCAGTTTTCATACCGCACCTATGACAGAAAAGGTTTTGTGAAGATTCTGTTATATAGAAAGAAAATAAGAGGAGGAGACAGCATGAAACCACAGACCTACAAATTGTTCCTACTCTCAGTTTAAAAACTTAGACAAGAGGAAACCAGAATCTCCTTGTGCAAATGCTGACATTTCAAACTTTTTTTGAGGTTGCAAATGGACTGCAGCTTAGATAACAATTGTTTCTGATAACACCTGGAAGACTATTGATATTTTTTACAGGACCTAAATTCTGTGAAATTAATCTAATAACAATCACAGGGCATGTTACATGTTGTTATTAAATAAACATCCTGTGTGAGTAAAAGAGTGGGACATTATTGAGACAAAACAAAAATGTTGGGATTTTTCTCAGAAAAATATTACTGCTATTCTAATTTTTCTGCGCAAATTTCAGTTTTCTGTGTGGTAAACTTCCATCAATATATTTTGATCAACCTTGCATGAAATACACCCATATCTCAAACCCAATTTTGTTTCTACAGTTTTATATGTCAGTCTAAAGTATAGTCCAGTCACAGTGGCATAAAACAACTGCCTTCAGCTCCATGGAGTATAGGCTAATTCAGATGAAGATCTAATCAGTAAAGAAGATAAATACTAAGGATAAACTATTTTACTCAAAAAATCCTTGCATTTATAAGAACATCCTTTTAGTCTACATGAATTTAATTTTCTCAAAGAAGATAAATACTAAGGATAAACTATCCTTGCATTTATAAGAGCATCCTTTTAGTCTACATGAATTTAATTTTCTTGTTGATTCAATACACATTTTCTTATCAAAAATCAGTATGTTTTATTAAAAAAAAAAAAAAAAAAAAAAAAAAGCCATGAAATCGCTATGTGTAAACTTTCCTAAAAAGAACATGACACAATAGAGGGTTATGATTAAGCATAAAATTACACAGAAACACATACACCAGACACACTTGAGAAGCGTAGGGAATGCAACATAGCAGCTGTGGAAAATTAAATCACTCACTGGAGATCCATCACTCCAAACAAAGCCATCATCAGGATTCAAGTAATATAAGCCCATCCAAAAATGTTGGTGGTAATAGCCATTGTTCCTAAAAGAACCCCACAAAATAATAAATGTCCCATTTGTAAGAAGTTTAAACATAAAACCAAAAGTAATAAGGGCATCACAATATTTTTAATAATCTATCTTTCACAACATATGAATAGGATTCTCTAAAAATAATTCTTAAAGCTGTTAGAAATAATAACAACCAGGGTGGAGATTAATTAAAATGCAATCACTTCTAGCTGTTATCACTATACATTAGCTCAGATAGAAATACTGACAAATAAAATGTCCAGATCCAATCCAACTCCTGAAAATAAGGTGGTTTAATACTTTTGTATAATGGTTCAATAGCTACTGCTGTTCCATCGAGCTCTCTATTTTCTCAGTAAAGGCACTTACAGTTTCCAAACAGAAAATTACTTGCTGCAGTTGAATCACATTTAAAAAATAGCACCTTAAACTAATTATTGTCTACAAGCAGACACACTTTACTGATTTATCTGAATTTATTGAGTCAATCTGTGGTAATGCAGCATCTGAGACTTCTTCCTTACTATAAGTACATAACTGGGATTCTAGGACAGTTGTAGCATTTTGCAAGGCTGCCATGTTTCAGTCAAGCTTCCTAGTTAGACAGGGATGTAAAAGTTCATTAAGCTCAGTCTATTCATGTCATATAGCAAGTGTTACCTTTTTAAGAGTATTTGATCTCATTCAGAAATCTCAGACCTGCTTTTTAGAGTTCAGGGATCTACTACCTTATTTACATTCCCTGTGTAGGAAAAAAATCAATCTGAAGTTGCTTCTGCATTCTGATTAGTTCATAAAAATTAAAAACAATCAACACATTTACTAGATTTATATCATGACTGTTACCCTATTTGTACACTTGCTTATGTGAAAACAACTGGCATCTGTGGTACTGTTATAATATCCCCAAATCCAGAGTAAATATTTTTACACCAGATGATAAATGTTGCCTCAACTAGGTATCTTGCCAATCTCATTTTAGCATTAGGTTCTGGGGTGATTGCCACCAGTCGTACAAATCCTGCTATTTAATCAGCTCTGGTTTTTTGCTATATGTGTTTGATACAGATGCAGAAGATTAATCCAGACTGGAGTAAAAACATACAGCTAAAATGAAATATTTCAGAAAGATCAAAAAGCTAATGAAAGTGAACGGATGACCACACTACAGATACTCACGCAATAGAATGCCATATCACATACTGTTCTTCTTTACCATTAATGGAGGCCAGATCTCCTCCTATAGCTCGGCAAAACTCTTGAGATTCAAGCCATGTTTTCTTATGCTCTCCTCTTGAAAAAGGCTAAAGAGAGCATTTTGCAATGAGAGAAAATAGTCCATCTAGATCACAAGATCAAGAAACATCAGCTAGCCAAAAGCAATTCATTTACAATTATCTTGTTATGTGAGGATTATAGAAACTTTGAATATAAGGTTTATGAGTGTTCACTTCTGTGAAACACAGGCTTAATGTGAGTGTCTTTAAGCCAAGCTAGCAAACTGCCTTGCTGACAGTAGTATCCACTGACAATAACTAGGAGAAAGGCATTTTTAATCTTAAAAGAGTGGGAAATTCAGTCTTATAGGAATGGGAAATTAAGATCAGAAGATCAGACGTGGAGACTGAATTTTAATGGAAGAAACAAAACCACAAGCATTTCAATAGAAGGGAACAAGACCTTGGCATATAATCTGTAAGTAAGCTTATGAAACAGTAATATATATGTATACATGTATATTATGTATATGTATGTTAAACATATGCATAACAATTTTTATTGTATGTATGTACAGCAAATAGAAACTACCTTAATGCAGAAATAAGCAACATACTTACTTTGAAACAGAAGCTAATACGACTGTTTGAGTCCCAACCTTCTGGACACCGAGGAATAGGAGTTGTTGTAGGAACAGGTGGAATTGTCACTCCCTCTGCCCACACTTTGCATAGGAACTTCGCCTTTTCATCACATTTTATTACATCCCATAATCCACCTGCAATTCCAGTCCTCATGGCAACGCAGCCTGGCTTTCTTCCTGGTTGTAAACAGGAATGCACAAAAGCAACAGTTAGAGGGTCATAAGAATTTAGAAAACTTCATATTCTACCCTGATGGAAATTAAGTCTTTGTACAGAGTCAAAAATGTTTCTAATTTTAGTGCAAGTCCAGAGAAGGGCCACAAAAATGATCAGATGGATGGAAAACCTCTCCTATGAAGAAAGGCTGAGAGAGTTGGGGTTGTTCAGCCTGGAGAAGAGAAGGCACCAGGGACACCTTATCACATCCTTTCAACATATAAAAGGGGCTTATAAGAAAGTTGGAGAATTTTTACTAGGACCTGTAGTGGCAGGACAAGCGCCAACAGTTTTAAAATGAAAGAGAGTAGGTTTAGATTGCACATAAGACATTTTTTTACAATGAAGATGGTGAAACACTGGAACAGATTGCTCAGAGAAGTTGTGGATGCCTTATCATTGGAAATGGTCAAGGTCAGATTTCTGATCTAGTGCAAGATGTCCCTGCACATGACAGGGGGGAGCAGGCCTAGATGATTTTTAAATGTTCCTTCCAACCCAAACCATTCTATGATTCTAATTAATGAACTGAGGGGGGGAAAGAAAAAAAAAAAAAAAAAGAAAAGAAAAAAACACAAGCAAAAAAATCTATGGTTCATCCATAACTGAGATACTGAATTGTGCCTAGTATCAAATCACCTCCAGCAGCTGACTCTAGCAACATCATCACCTGTGATCCAACAAATTCTCCCCTAAAACTGAAGATGTGGTTGAGGCTAGTTTCTCAATTTTGTCTGACTATGATTTTCAAAAATGGACTTGGTATATGTAGGCCTAGTCTTTCCCAGAATAGACACAAATCAGAAACTTGATTTCAAAGTTTCTTCCCAAGCTCATGTTCAAAACTCATTTCAGAACTAAGCAGGAAGTTAGCAACAGCACTGCATGCTTGAAAAAGCAGACAGTTATATGTGAGAGCAATTAGTCGTTATACCAGCAAGCAAGGGCTAAGGAATGAAGTAAAAAAATTCAAGTAGTGAGCGATGCCTTTTGGGCACTGGACTCCTTAACCAGTATAGAGCCATACGCACCGGGCATTTCGGAATTCCAGTGTGTAAATAAGACAGGTTTGCCACTAGCCCACTTGAACGTTCCCTGTTCTTCTACATCTGAAAGTCCAATCCAAAAGTATCTTTCTGTTCTCAGCCCAACCAGGCTAGTCAGATAGGCTTGTTCGTATCTGTTCAAAAGAACACAACTGTAAAATTAATACTTTTACATTTATTTTTTAAAGTTGCAAAAGGCTTGTTATTTTCTCAGAATTACTGCTATACTTCTTGAAAGCATAGCTTGGATGGATTTACTTGAACAAAACACACAACAAAACGTTACATAATAGATATTTTGCAAACTTGACTACCAGAGTATTCTGCCTTCTCTTTGGATGTCCAGTAAAGAAAGTGACATAATCACAGATTGATATGAAATTGGTGGGTGAGAAGCAACCTGACATGACTTATGTGTTATACCACTCTATTTTTTGAGAGTTTCTAGTACCCTTGTATTTTAATGACTTCTTGTTTCAGGTAAATCCAAAACTGGAAAAGGAATCTCAGCCTTATTGACGAAATATACAAAAGTAGAAGTTAGTGTAATATGATACTAAATTATCAAACTAAGGAACATTGCAAATTAGATCCAATGATCACACAGGAAAAGCTACGTTTGGGAAACAAACCTATTCAGAGGCAAAGCCTATCATAGTTTATTATGGGATTTAAACAAACAGCTCTTAAGAAATCAAAGCTAATAAAAGAAGTCTTCCGTTAACAAGGTATAGTCTGAAGACCACATTAATATTAAACCATTTTTATGACATCTGCAGTGCTACTTACATTTCCAGATCTACCATCCATGACAGCTAGACTTTCACACTAGAACACATCTATTTAGATTATACAGAAACAAATAAAAACTGTAAAGTGCCAAGCCAACTGCAAGCAAAATAAGCTTTGTTTCTTAACCCTAACTTTCATTTTCCCAATATTCCACATTCAGTAATGTGCACCAGCTGTTCAGAAATTTAACACACACTGAACTCTGGCTCAATTGTGATGGATTTACAGGTATCAAATCTTTCTATCATCATCTGGTTTCTTATTTACATTTTTTCAAAGCAGCTCAATTCTGAGAAGACCAGATAGGTGAAAATTATATTCTCTTGCTCATTTGAAATACCTTTTGAAAGGAATTTAGAGCCATATCTCTTCATTTAATAATCGAAACTGGATTCTGCATCCCTCACTCAAACAAAACCTATCCTCAAGGCACTACAGTTAGGGAAATAGAAAACATAATTATATTTTTTTCCTTAACATAACAATCTATATCAATACTGATTTCATAGCCATCATCTATTTTTACTATAAACTGAATTCCTGGATTTGAATACACATGCAAACACTGTGAGAAGTTCTGTATCTACAGATAGCTGTCCTCTCAGCAAGATTTTTGTCCAGATCAGAATCTTTATTTTGATATTCAGATGATGCTAGACGTTAAATCCTCATGTGATGATCCCCTCACACAAGTAGACTTTTACATACCTGTCTTCAATAGTTGCTAAAAAGGCCTGATACCTTCCACAGGTTTGATTTGCTTGAGAAAATGATACAAATGTATTTCCAATGAAGTAACAATAAAAACCATGTCTTTTCCAACCCTGTCAAAAGAAACATTAAGTGATCGCATATGTTGCAGCTCTTCTAAACTTCTTTAAACCCCGCCCCCCCCCCCAAAAAAAAACCCCAAAATCCCCTACTGATTTATACCACTGCCAGCTAACCACTGGACAAAGGAACAAGTGAGCTGAAAAAGCCAGACTGGAAACAGGCAGGATCAAAGCTTTTAAAAAATCTTTTTCATAAAACAATTTTTCACATATAATAAATTTTTAATCAGTGTATTCTACTTATGAAGGCATGAGAGGCTTTGCTGTGCACCTTTAGTGCTCAGTGTAGGATTATAACTAGCACATAGGCATTGTACAGCCATAAGAATGGTCTTGAGAAGCAAATTTCAGCTTGACTTTTCGCAAAGTTTCTTTATTATTAACTAACATTAACACTCTCTTCTAACATTTTGTCATTCAAATGTCATTAACTCAGGAATATGCTTACAGAGGAAGAGTTTGCTGAGACCAGCCACAATTCACTCAGATTTTCTTCTGATGGTTTTGAATTTCTCACCTATGAGAGACTTTTTCTACATGCACACACTTAGTTCTCTAGGCAAGGATAACCCCCAAAAGTATCTTCTCTTCTTTATCACCCATCTTTATCTTATCTAGTAGCTGAATATTCATAAGGTTCCCAGGTACTCTTTTACAAATACTGGGAATAAACATCAAAGACTTCCTCTGCAGCTGTGTAAATCAGACTTGGGAGAAAAGGCAATTTCTTAATGGAACACAAAAAGCTAGTAAGATTCCCTATGACATAACAAATTAGAGTATGTTTTTTGGAATTAGTGAGTGTTATGTTACCAGAAGGTGAGCATTACCAAATAAACAATAGATCCACTGGCAGTTCAGAAGGAGCACAGTGGACTCATTTTACTCTGGCACTCACAAAAAAGTCTTCAAAGTAGAGAGCACTGCCAGAGACCACAGCAAAGCCCTGAGAATAGTATGTAGACAAGCACACCCTTCCTGCCGTGAGTAATTCTGAAGAAAATTGTAGGCAGAGCTGAAGAGCAACTATTGGTACAGGCAAATTCCTTAGGAAGACTTGAATGCCAGTCAAGGAAAAATGATCTGCTGCAGGGACTACAGGTTTGAATTTTGGTTTAAATTCTGGAAAAAGAAATGGAGCATCAAGAGCCAAATGACAGTCAGAACCTAGGTTTATTCATATGTATCACCTATCCCATCTGCTATAGAAATGAGAAAGCCAACTGTTCTGATTATGACCACACAGAACCTATTTTTCCTGTTTAATCTGTCACCTAGGTGGCATTTTCTCCTCTTAATCATTCCCAGCAGCCTAATTCAGATCCAACAGGTTTTTCTTCACTTACTCTCTGGCAGCCCATGTCAATAGTTTCCTCTTCTGTAGGAGCTTCTGACATGGGTTTCCTTTTACAGATGTAGCCAATTTTCTTTTCACAAGAATGGTCTGCCCAAAATCCATCCTGAACATAAGAACATCACAGTCAAGTGGGATTTAGTCTTCAGAAAGATTAAAATGCTTTTAAGCATTTAATTATTTTTTTCTAGCTTTAAAAGAAGCAAACCCTACATCAGTACTTAACTCCAACCTCATTCCAACCTCACTTCTACTGGAGCTGATTCACCACTGACTTACACCTTCTTTGATTATTTACCCTTCTGAAAAGTGAACCCTTGGAGGTGATAGCAATACACCATTTTTACAAAGACTACTGATTTAATAAGCATGCAGGAGGAAAAGGAGATGTCATCTCTCCCCACAGAAATCCAGTTGCAACAGGAAAAAAAAAAACACAGAAGATTACATTCCTTAGTTAATACTTACCTAAACTTTGAAGATGCAAAAAGTTCCTTGTCAAAGTTAGAATTAACATTGCGACTTCTCATACTACAGATTCTTAGAAGAAACAATGACATTCAGTGGAGCTGTACCTAAAATCAGAAACTTCACACCATGTTCCCATTTTGGTTCAACAGATGAACTAAGGTATTGGGAGAGGAAGAGAAATCCTTGTGCAAAGCATTCTCTCACCTGTGCCTTAAAGTTTCCATTTTTGTAAAAACAAAATCACAGCAGTTGGTGGCAATTTTCCTTTCTTCCCCCCACTCCCCCCTCCATCCCCC